TCGAGAGACAGTCCTGAATAACACATAAGTTAAGAGTGAATTGAACACAACAATCAAGCTGGATGCTTAATTGCGAAACAGATATGAGATTACACTTTAAATTCGGAACAAATAGCACATGTTCTAAAATTAAATTTATCGGTCAAAATGCATGTCATGCTTTGGCGGCTATAACTGTCTGCCCGTCTGGCAAACCTACCGAACATGGCTCAATATTGACCTTGTTTGGCAATCACTTGTTAGCTGTTATCTAGTAATGACAGCTGGTTGACAATAGCTGGTTGTATTAGCTGTTTTAGTTGGCCGATTATGTTAGCTTGTTGTCAGCAAATGTTTGGTAAATTAGATATTTAAAAATAGTTGTTTTCTTGTAAAAAGACATATAAGGACATTAGTATTTAATCTAATTTCTAAAAATTATACTTTGTAATTTCTATTGCAAAGAAATTATATACGGAGTATCAAAAAGGATAGACGTAAAAAAAACAAAAAAAAGGTGAAAATTAAAATATGATCTAGAGATAATTTTAATTATTACCCACTTCAAGTTTTATGAAAAATGTTGACCGAACACATTTACTTAATTTAGTAATTGTAGAATGAAAAGACAAAAAAAAAGTAACCTAAAAAAGTAATGGTGTAAGAATATAGAGAACTTCTTCTTGTACACACTTTTATACTCACCATGTATGTGAGGAGTTTTTTTTCCTGTGAATCTGATTCACAGACAAAATAATTTGCATAGACATATTTTGTCTGTGACCGGGATTCACAGACAAAAAAACTCCTCACAGACATGGTGGGTACAAAAGTGGGTATAAGAATGGGTACAAACAGTTTTTTTGAAGAATATAATACTCTGTATATGCTATTATGCTAAGAGGCCGTTTGGAACAATTGTTTTTCGACTTATCAAGCTTATCAGCCAACTTTTTCACCAAACACGTAACTTTTGCTTTCACGCGCTGAATTTTGTAATAAGCAGAAAAAGTAAGGTTGGGGTTACTTTTCTGGTTGTTTTGGCTGAAGTTACTGTAGAGGATCATTTTAGCTATTTTACATATAATATTTTCTTTATTTTATTAATAAAATATATTTTAAAAATAAATTTTTCATAAATCAGCAGAATCAGCCAATGCAGCCACTTCAGCCAGAACTTCATAAATTTCAGCAGAATCAGTCAAATCAACCGATTTTCGTGCTACCAAACGGGCTCTAAGTCTACCTACAGTCTTACTGTTACCTAGTTCATTAGGCACTATAAGAGAACTGTATGATACTACATATATTAGGAGCATTTAGTAAACACTCCGTATTAATAATGATGAACCAGCTGACACGAAACGCTCCATTTTTGGCTGCTTGGGATGAAGAAGCCAATTCAAAAAGCTATTTACCAAACATGTTATTTAGCTGGTCAATTGATCAAAACATCTAAACTCAGTCAAACCAGCCAAAAAATGGTTGATAAGCCATTTAACAAACATATATGGTCATTATTAATTTGACATAAGAAAGTCAAATTTTCACATATGATTAGTAGCCCCGTATCAATTATCCATTCATTAGTATCAAACGTACCGGCCATTCACTTATTAGATGATGAAGGATTGCCAAATGCTGCAATTAGTGCTTTCCATTGTTCGGAGAGTATGTATATTGTACAACCGGATGTACCGTGAGCACCGTACAACCGGCCCAAAAACAGGTCTAAGGGAAAAATAGCAAAATAATTCGGTGGCATTTTTGTAATAATGTGAAAATCGCGGTTTCTACTAAATGAGCATTAATGTACTGTTAATGACCAATAGTCCAATTTTAATGAGTATTAAGCGTCTAATAATGAACATCGTGTTATGACAAAAAAGCTGATATCACAACTAAAAAACGGTGGCATTTTCATAATTTCAGTGAAGATCGTGGTTTTTGTTAGATGAACATTAATACACTTTTAATGAGCATCAGACGTATTCTATTGAGTATTAAGCGTCTAACAATGAATATCATGATCTCTCCTTCATATCTTGTAATTCGCTTTGTTTTTCTTATTTTTTCTTTTATAAAAACTTATTAAATTTTATCATCTATAATGAACTTTTATAAACTTTAATATGCAAATTTAATGTAATATGGTAATTTTGATGTATGCATTGATATGTCATTTTAAAAATGAGCATAATATCAGTATCAAATGAGCATACACAACTTTGTTAGTTGGACGTCACGATACTTTCATTGAACATCAAACCTCTTGTATTGAGATGAAAATAACGCTTTATGTTAAATGATCATTAAGGAACTTTTAATTAGCACTAGACCTATTTTGTTGAGTATTAGGAGTCTAATATTGAGCATCACAATCTCTGCTTCATATCTTCTAATTCATCTTCTTTTAACATTTTTTCTTTTATAGAAATGTATTAAATTATATCTACAATCAATCCCTATGAAGTTCAATATGTGAATCTAATGCAATATGATACTTTTGAAATATGCATTGATATAACATTTAAAAAATGGGCTTAATATAAGTACCAAATGAGCATACGTAACTTATAAAATGAGCATCGATATAATGAGCATCGTGAAGCCTAACAATTCACATCTTCTTCTAATTTAGTTTCTTTTTTTATTTTTTATTTTATAATTTTTTTTTAAATGATATCTTTGATCAACTTTTATGAATGTCGTATAATATGGTACTTTTGAAATATTCATTTATTAAATGATAACTTAAAATGAGCATAACATAAGTATCAATAGAGCATACGTAACTTACAATATGAGTATCAAAAAAATCAAAAACTCATTGGTGTATGCACATTCATTTTAGACATTATACTCATTTGAGTTTAACATAAATCTCATTTCTAATGTGTTCAATATTCATGTGTGTATGTGAATGAGTAGAGGAAGTAGAGCTTGTAATTTTGAATTAAATCGGACCGAGATTCAATTATTTGAAGATAAATGCATAGAAGTGGAAGTTTGATGGTTTGAGATTTTTTAGGTGAGATTTGCAGAATGCTCAGAAACGATGGACGCCCATATTAAGCATGATATCGGCGGCTACCTTTAAATCCCTTTGTTTGAAGCTGTAAATTCACTTCGATTCATTCCTTCGGTTCTATAAATTATATCGGGGGCCGCCTTCTAGTTCTAGGCTTTAGCCGGAACTTGGAAGAGACGAGAATAGAGCCGACAGATTTGAGTTGCAGCGATGCAGATTTAATTACAAAAATGTCCGGCTGTACGGTGAGCACCGTACAGCCGGCTGTACGATATAATTTACCTTGTTCGGATCATCGGATGTGAAGCCCGGAAAAGGCGTGGACTGCCCATTACCTGCTTCCCCGTTACTAGTTCCTACCTGTGATTTCTTTCAATAATTATATTGCAGCTGCATGCGTCTTAGTTATGGGTTTACCTCGATTTGTTCCAGAATTATTTGACTGACCGGGGCCTATCACCCCACCATTCGGGATAACCATGTAACTCAAAACAGTTTGACACCTCGTGCCTAGGAAACTTACAGCAAGAACATGTCAACCCATTTATTTCACCCTTTGTTCCTCTATCTTTGCCTTTTCGGTCAGTTCTAATAGCGAACCTAACAACATCCATTTGTTCATCCTCTGTTTGCACTATCCCACGCACACGTTCTTCCTGAGAAACCTGCTAGTAAGCACGGTTGAGGGTCGGAAGGGGCGTTTGTGTCGGCAATTGGGACCGTTCATTGCCAAAAAAATCAGATTGCAACCCCATTAAAAATTGGTGAAAATGTTCTTGTTCTATGCGCTTTTATCCTATTCTCTGCGCTTTTCATCCTAAAAGATTAACTTGATAAGAGAAGTAACTCAAGATCTTAATAGTGTTTGATTGTTTCAGAGATATCCGATGTGCGACAACAACAAAAGGTCACCTACTAAATTAGACATTTAATTTGGTTGTTTTTGTGTAGTTCACGAGTTTAATTGAGTGTCTTTTTTGTTTGAGGGTTTAATTGACATTTTCAATATACTTCTCTGGCCGATTTGACAGTTTTCCCGATATCTTTCCTGTAAACTCTAATTTGTCTAATTTATTTTTTGTGAAAATGTAATTTCTACATAGTATTATTTAGATCTACAAGTTCAAGAAATCCATGAAAGAAATACTGAGCTCTACTTGTGTGTCTCATCTTTTGATCTCGAAATTCATTTAGATGTTCAATAAGAAGAAATTAGAGTTTTATCCAATTGATTTCTCTCGAAATTTTGAATGATGGGCTTTAGAGTTATTCCATTGAAGCATCTTCTGATTTAAATTTTCACGATTGATGTGTATTGATGCTCTCTTCTAGTGTTGTAGGAATGCGGAGACCGGAAAACATTTAAATTATAACTTGGTGTGTTCTCTTCTAGTGTTGAAAGAACATTTTCTGCTATATTTAAAACTTATCAAGGTGACCTTATGCAATTGTATTTGTGATAATTTGTTGAAAGATTGCTTGATTCCATAAGCTGAAAAAGAGACATCTACTCGTATCCCTAATGAGGCAATGAGTCAGAGCACGGGAACGGACTGGACCAGTACAAAGAATATTTTTAGAAAAAAATTTACACGAAATATTTTACCTTAAAAATCAAGCCATTTTTGAAATTTGGGGTGAGCCGTGGCCTAGGTTGGCCCACCCCTAGCTCGGCCCATGAGACAATCTTAATACGATTTCAAAGTATGGAAGAATGTAGAGGAGCACTTTCTAGTTACTTGTCTTCAATGTTGTAGTTTAAATTTAAGGTAGATTCTATAGTACCCATAAGGTACCATACCTTTGTCCACATGGACCAATGAGAATGTTGCAGTTGAATTATTTAAATCTAAATTAAAAAAGATAAAGTGATGTGGTCCAATCAAATGGATGGTAGGTACGGTATCCCATTTTTTTAAAAGGTACCGGAGTTTGTCACCTAAATTTAATTTGTTTGCTCAAAACAGCTTTTCGAATTAATGATATTGAGTATTATTTATATGTCGTGAAAAAGTGTATAATCAAAACAGCATTGGGTTTTTTGAATATGATGTATGGATCACAACTGTAATGACATGAACATGGACAATTTTTGGTTAAACGAAAACTTGAAAAACAACAGCAGCACAATTGCTGGCCCTGCCTACAAATTAAATATAGCTGAATTACAGCGGCCCCTTAATCAGCTTCAATAACCCACCTGGGAGATGAATTTAATCTAAGCTACATTATTGAATTGATGATGATTCCAACCAAATAATATATGTATGGATCACAGTAGGCTCCTGAGAAGAATCCCTTCAAACGTGATTCCAGGTCCAAATGCCAAAGCGAGTCCCCATTCTTCTTCTTCTTCTTCGGTCGCCTTCCTCCTCCTCAGCTCATCTCTCATGTGCTCCAGCACATAGAAGATGGTGTTGCTGCTCACGTTTCCAAACTCCATTAACGCCTTCCGGCTGCACTCTAGCTTCTCCCTTCTCAGTCCGAGAGTTTCTTCCAATCTGTTCAGTATCGCCGGCCCTCCAGGATGCACCGCCCAGAAAAAGTCATTGTACTCCATGCTTGCTGTTGCAGTTGGGACTTTGGCCATCAGCTTCTTGCAGAAGTCCTCGATGTTGTCCTGGATCTTCTCCGGCAAGTCCCGCCCTAGCTTGAAGTTGATCCCCTCCTCAGAAATCCGACCGTCTATGACGCTGTGAGTTCCGAGCAGGAACTGCTGAGTTGCAAAGAAGAGTTCCATGAACGGGTTCTCCACGCCCTCCCTGGGCTCGGCCCCCACGATGACGGCTGCTGCTCCGTCACCGAACAGGGCAGCCCCGACAAGGTCATACGGGCGGGCCCGGTTGGGGGGGCGGAAGCCCAGAATGGTGGTCTCGGACGTGGTGACGAGGACCCGGCTGCCCGGGTTGTTCTCGGCTATGTCCTTGGCGACCCGGAGGGCGGTGACCCCTCCGTAGCAGCCGAGGAAGTAGAGCATTACGCGGTTGACGTCGCTCCTCAAGCCCAGCTGGGTGGCCAAGTAGAGATCCCCTCCGGGCAGCCGGATTTCGCTGGACGAGACGTAAACGATGTGGGTGATCTCCTCTGCTGGACGGCCCCAATCCTTGATGCAGGCCATGCTAGCCTCCTTCGCCATCTCAACTACTGCAGGGTTCGCTATTTCCAGCCGCTGCGCGATGGTTGGACACCCTTCTCTCACTAGCTCTGGGTATTTCTCCAATACATCTTTGCACATCACTGTGTATCTTGTCTTCACTGTTGTTGTTTTGCCTTCCATTTCATCCAAAACGTACAATATAATTAATATATGATGTCCCCCATTTTAATTACATGCCTATGTATACATGAAGAGCTTCATTCTAATAATCTTTTTTGTATCTTTTCAATTCTATCAGATGTCCCGAAGGACGAATTGCCTCATTCTTTTTAGCTCCAATACCCCCATTTTGTTTCGTAGGCATAATACTTTATTTGACAATTGATGTATTTAATGCACTCTTTTTCATACATTAATAAATACTCTTTAAAAGTGTAATCAAAGTAAATCCCATTATTAGTGTAAAATTCAACATGTTATAATTATTTAAGAAAATCATATCATGGTCTTGACTTAACTTTCATATCCCGATCGAGATATAGGTTTACTGGTTGCTCTTATGAATAGGGCCAATTTTGTGTTTACTTCCCAGTTATATATACTAGCTTTTTGAACGTTGTTGAGCATGCATTAGAGAAAATTTACTGAAGAATACGGAGTACCACATGACATCTCTTTTGTTGAATAGCACTAATATCACTTTCTCTTCAAAAATAGAATATATTCAATCTTTAAGAAAATGTTTTTGTTGTGCTATTCATCTTTAAGGACTACATAAGTCTTATTTAAAATTAGAAACAGAACATAAGTAATTAGTTTTATTTTTGAACATTGATCATCCATATATATTACTTACAAAGTCTCTCGAGCTTCTCCTTGATGGCAAGGTCATGGCAGTTTGTGTCGCGAATGTAGCCTTCGACTAAGCGGTCTTGGGGAACAAGTTGGCTGGGGAAGGCTTTGCCTAATGCGAGAATGGTGGCCTTGCCCTTGGTTGGAAGACGAAGCGATTTGTTCCTGTTTGAAACATCATTATTTCCGCTTCCATTCAGATTAGACATTCCTGCACTAACTTAATTGTTATATATATTCAAATCAGGGTTAGGAAGAATATAATTTAGCTAGCTAGATAAGCGTGCGTTTAATGAATGAGTCCGGGAGAAGTGGAAGGTGGTGTATATATACACACACGCATATGTGGATGGGAGATCGATAAGTTTGGTTTTGGAGAAACGTCAAGAGCTTTTTGCATGAAGTGTTAAAAAACCAAGCATGCCTTTTCACTGTCCAAATACTTTACTTTTGTTTATTTTCGTAGCTAGGCTCTTGGGTTGGAATTTTAAGAATTTAATGGTGTAAATATGTCTCACAACCTTTGCATGTGTAGCCGTGTAGTGGACCACCCACCACTTGATTTCCCTCTCCGATCGAGAATCGCTACCTTAGTAGTTAGTAGTACTATAGTGTTTCATGTTTTGTTAGATCACCTTTGCATGTGTTCCTTTTTCTTATGCTATAATAACTTGTTATAACGTTTATTACTTATACAATTACGGAGTATTATTCACCCTTTTTTTACTGGAAAATGCTTATATTAAAACTCAAAAATCAAACAATCATACATCCAACATTCTTTGACTACCCAACCATTTCCTAGACTCCTTATAGTCAATAGGCTCCCTCACTATTTGACCAGACATAGTTGTTTAATAATGAGCAATACTAATCGTTGACCATGCGAGAGATGTAAAGCTATTATCGGCAAAACTAGCTTGATTGCTTCCTCGCAAACAAAGAAATAAAAACACAAAACAGAAATTATAGTGTTTGACCTCATACGCAACAATAGAAATAAAGGCTGAATACTGGACTAAAAATTCACAATGAAAGTGGGTAAAGCTAGATAGCGTAAATCAAGTGTGACGTGTCGTCCAAACCCTAAATTCTTTTCCTTTCCATGGCAGCGGTTCGCCGGTTCAGGAAGGGGACGAACCAATAGCACATCACCTTCCTCATCCAAGATCAACTGATCACAGATCTGATCTAGATTATCAAACTCATCTTGGCTGGTAATCATCTCGGTCGATGTTGCGTGGGAATACATCTGCCTTTCCATCGCAATCTGCTGGTCCGACGCCTACTGTTGTGATCACCTTCGAACCCTGCGAACCAATTGTGCCCCCATCGCAGAAGGTCACCTTCCCTTGCGAAGCATCCCTCCTCCGGCGTCGAACCCAATCTGCTCCTCCGACATCTGAGATTGGTTAAAAGAGCTCACAGACCAAAAGAAGGTCATTGTTTCGCTGCTGCTATGCACTCGCGTCTCGAACAAACCTTACGGATGAAAGAAATGTTGTTGTCGCAAACCCTAGGCATTAAGACCTACCCATCCGCAATCTCTTATTGTTAGCAGTTGACCCAGTTAATGTTATACGAAGTATTATTTACTCTTGTTAGTACATTATGTTAGTGTTTTATTACAATATACTCCATTTGTCCCTTAAAACTTTGTCAACTTTTCTTTTTTAAATATTTCACTAACTTTGCCACTTTACTTTAAGTAAAGAATTAGTGGTTCCAGTTAATTATCTCTCCTCTGCATGCATAAACATCTACCACACAGTTTTTACTTTATTAATTCACGTGCCGGTCAAACTTGGCAAAGTTTTAAGGAACGAAAGGTAGTAAAATATACAATTATGTATATACAATTACATAATTATAAATACAGTGTATATTATATTACGGAGTATTAATGAATATATGCATTAATATATAGACAGTGTGGGTGTAATTGAAGCGTAGGATATTTTTACTTGGACTGTAATCTATCCAGACTAGACCAGACCAGACCAGATCGGACCAGACCAGACTTGAATAGTTATAAAAGTACAAAGAGACCAGACATTACCAGACCAGACCCGGCAGACCAGCAAATTACAGTCCAAGTAAAAACATTCTAACCAGGTCAGGTGCTATCTCTGGCTTCCGTTCTGGTTCGATTCTAGAATTGGAACTGTGTCGAACTTTAGAATTAATTCCACTTTTGGTCCTACAAGTTTTATGTGAATTTCACATTTAGTCCACATCTTTAACTTTGCCCACTTTTGGTACTTGACTAATGTTTTTTGACCATTTATGGTCCTTTTGCGGCGATTTTAATAGCCGGAAACTGTTAGGAATTTAACTCACAAACACGAAGAACAATTAAAGAACACACGAAATTTGGTAACCCAGTTCGCCACAGAGAACTACGTCTGGGGGCGCTACCAAGCCAGGAATGTTATTAATATTTTCTGGATCCACACACAATGATTACAAGGGGGAGAGCTTGTATTTACAGAGAAGTAAATCCTAACCCCAAGGCAACTAGGATGTGTTTCCTAAAATAAATTAAGAAACGTGTTTCCAAAAATAAATTAAGAAACTGTCTCTAACACCTAACAATCTCCCACCTAGAGACTGTCTTCTTCAAACCTCCCTTGTAAGCATGGCAGCGCCGGCCTTCATCTTCAAGTACCCAGGCCAATTGAAGCTATGCAAAGCTTCAATTTCTCCAAGGTTACCGCCTTAGTAAACATGTCTGCTGGATTCTCACTCCCACGGATCTTCACAAGCTGCAATGCCTCTATCTCTAGAAGATGATGGATGTAGTGATACTTCAACCGAATGTGTTTGGTTCTCTTGTGAAAAGCTGAGTTGTTTGCCAAGAAGATAGCACTTTGACTGTCACGGTAAAGAATGTTATTCTTGTACTCCTTCCCAAGTTCCCCAAGTAAATTCTGAAGCCACACCATCTCCTTACTTGCCTCCGTAATGGCCACATATTCTGCCTCTGTAGTAGATAATGCAACAATCTTCTGCAACTGCGAAAGCCAAGATACTGTTGTCCCACCAAATGTAAAAACATACCATGTGGTGCTTCTTGATCCATCCGAGTCATTTGATGCCAGATCTGCATCAACATGTCCCAGCAGCTCTACATTCTTCCCATCAAAACACAAAGCATTAGAAGCACTACCTTTCAAATACCTCATGATCCATTTCACAGCTTCCCAGTGTTCTTTCCCGGGATCTCCCATGTATCTACTCACTACTCCCACTGCATGTGCAATGTCTGGCCTTGTGCAAACCATAGCGTACATGATGCTGCCAATTGCCGATGCGTATGGAATCTTCTGCATTTGAGCACGGTCCTCCTTGTTCTTTGGAGAATCTTCCTTGCTAAGCTTGAAGTGACTACCCAATGGAACACTTGCAGCCTTAGCATCTTGCATTCTGAATCTTTCCAAGACCTTCTGAATGTATTCTGCCTGTGAAAGAAACAATCTGCCCGCTGCCTCATCCCTCTCGATTCGCATGCCCAAAATTTGCTTTGCCTCTCCAAGATCCTTCATGGAAAAACGTTCTGACAACTGTTTCTTTAGCTTCTCGATCTCCTTTGAACTAGCTCCTGCAATCAACATGTCATCTACATATAATAGCAAGATAAGATAACAGTTCTTAGTCTTCTTGTAGTAGCAGCAGTTGTCGGTGTGACATCTCAAGAAACTGATTTCCCGCATGAAACCATCAAATTTCTTGTACCACTGCTTCGGTGCCTGCTTCAACCCGTATAAGCTCTTCACTAGCTTGCATACGAGATTCTCACTGCCTTCCGCCACATAGCCCTCCGGTTGCACCATGTAAATCTCATCATTCAGATCACCATGAAGGAATGCAGTCTTCACATCCATCTGATGTAACAACAAATTTTCTGCAGCAACTAACCCCAACACCAACCGAATAGTAGTTAGTTTCACAACTAGATAGAATATGTCGGTATAATAAATACCATAGCGCTGCTCAAACCCCTTCACAACCAGTCTAGCTTTGTAGTGTTTGCTACCATCTGCCTCCTTCTTGATGCGGTAGACCCACTTGCAGTGCAAAGCCTTCTTTCCTCTCGGTAGTTCAACTAACCTCCAAGTATCATTGGATGTGAGAGATGCCATCTCATCATCCATTGCAAGTTTCCACTTGCTCTTGTCATCAATCCGAACGGCCTCTGCATAGGACTCCGGTTCACCACCGTCAGTAAGCAACAAATAGAAATTAGAAGGTGAATACCTATTTGGTGCTCTTCGGTTCCTAGCAGGCCGCTGCCTTGGCGGAGTTGATGAATCCTCATCACTGCTCATCTCTTCATTCTGATCCTGCTTGCTCCCACCCGAATTAGAAATATATCCAGCTCTATGATCTTCAGACTTTCTTGCTCAGAATCAGATGCGCTCAATCTGTCCTTGTACAGAACCTGCTCGTTGAACACCACATCTCGACTACGAATAATCTTCCTATTCTGCTCATCCCAGAATCTGTATCCATAGTCATCACCACCATATCCAACGAACGTACACTTCACAGATTTTGCGTCTAACTTGCTTCGGTCAACAGAACTGATATGAACATAATCAACACAACCAAATATGCGGAGATAGGACAGATTTACCTCTTTACCCTTCCACCTTTCTTCAGGAATGCCATTCTCCAACGAGATCGTTGGACTTCTGTTGATGAGAAAAGCCGCGGTGTTCACTGCATCCGCCCAAAACATCTTCGGTAAGTCACTCTTCAACCTCATGCATCTAGCCCGCTCATTCAGTGTTATGTTCATGCGTTCAGCAACGTCATTATGCTGCGGAGTCCCCTTAGTTGTCTTCTCCATATGAACCTCATTCTCAGCACAAAAATTCTTGAACTCATGCAGTTCATACTCACCCCCATTATCTGACCGAAGGCACTTCAACTTCAGACATGACTCTGTCTCAACACGAGCTTTCCACCTCCTGAAAGCATCAAAGGCATCAGATTTATTTTTGAGAAAATAAACCCACACCTTTCTTGTGGCATCATCAATAAAGGTCATGTAGTAGGTGGATCCTCCCAAGGATGTAACTTTTGCAGGTCCCCAAAGGTCGATGTGAACTAGTTCCAGCTTCTCCGGTTTGATAGCTCGTCTTCCCTTTGAGAAACTGACACGTTTCTGTTTCCCGAATATGCAGTCCTCGCATAAGCCAACCTCAACAGTCTTCAGGCCGGGCAGTTTGCCCTTCGAGCACAGCTCCTTCATCCCCTTTTCGCTCATGTGACCGAGCCGACAGTGCCACAAATTCACATCGTTTGTTCCAGCGGCAACAACATCGATGCAGTCCTTTGAGTTCGTTGTCATGTACAACGTACCCTCCTTCTTCCCCTTAGCAACCAGCAAGGCTCCCTTGGTGATCTTCCAATTTCTGCTGCCGAATGTAACTGCATAACCTTCCTCATCCAGCTGCCCAATTGAAAGAAGATTCCTCCTCAAACCAGGAATGTGTCGGACACCATTTAGTTTCAGCATGCATCCGTTCGGAGTCTTCACATGGATTGTCCCCTTCCCGACAATTTTAAGAGGCTCATCATCAGCAAGATACACCTCTCCAAAATTGCCGGGAGTATACTGTTCCATCACTTCAGAGTTACCAAATGAATGGAACGAGACTCTAGAATCCAGAACCCATGACTCCAACGGACTGCTCACGCTCAGAATCAGGAGATCATCACCCGATGATTCTGCCGCTGCATTGGCAGATGTCTTCTCCTTCTGATCCTTGATCTGCTCCTTGCACTGTCTCTTGAAGTGTCCGTACTCCTCACAATTCCAGCACTTGATCTTACTTCTGTCCTTCTTGCCCTTGCTGTTTGACTTGGATTTGGATCTTGATCTATCCCGATTTGACTTTGACTTTGACTTCGTTCTGCCCCGGTTCTCTGTACTCAACGCCGATCCAGAAGCCAAACCTGATTCCTTCCTGCGAATTTCTTCGCTGACCACCAGATTTCTGTCTTCATCGAATTTCGGTTTCTCTTTCCCTGCCGAAGCGCTGACTGCAGTCACCGTTCCGTTCCAGCTTTCCGAGAGAGAAGACAGCATAATTAGGGCATGAATTTTGTCGTCGAACTTGATCTCAATCGCGCTCAATTGTGTGGTGATTAAATTGAACTCGTTGAGATGCTCCACAACTCCCGTGGTTTCTGACATCTTAAGGTTAAAAAGACGCCTCATGAGATGTACCTTGTTCGCAGCAGAAGGTTTCTCATACATATCTGTTAATATTTGCAACATCTCCTTCGTCGTTTTTGCTTTGACGGTATGTAGGGCGATGTTTCTGGACAGCGACAATCGCACCACGCTCATCGCTTTCCTGTCCAGCAACTTCCAATCGCTCTCCTTCATGTCTTCCGGATTATCCTCCAGAGGTTGATACAGATCTTTACCGTACAGGTAATCTTCGATCTGCAGCTTCCAGAAGCCGAAATCAGTCCCATCAAACTGCATCAACGGTGTCTTCAAATCTGCCATCGTGTTGAACTCTCCCTTCGAACCTAGGGCTCTTGATACCAGTTGTTAGGAATTTAACTCACAAACACGAAGAACAATTAAAGAACACACGAAATTTGGTAGCCCAGTTCGCCACAGAGGACTACGTCTGGGGGCGCTACCAAGCCAGGAATGTTATTAATATTTTCTGGATCCACACACAAATTACAAGGGAGAGAGCTTGTATTTATAGAGAAGTAAATCCTAAGCCCAAGGCAACTAGGATGTGTTTCCTAAAATAAATTAAGAAACGTGTTTCCAAAAATAAATTAAGAAACTGTCTCTAGCACCTTACAGAAACATTACGTCCAGAAGGACCATATCTGATCAAAAATACAATAGTCATGTATCAAAAGTGGACAAAGTGAAAGACGTGGACTAAATGTGAAATTGACATTAAACTCCTAGGACCAAAAATGGAATTTATTCCGAACTTTATGTATACGACTTGTCGACTATATGTAAGCCTCTTATGTTTATCTGCCATCTCTGGTTTCGGGCTTATGTCTACGTAAGCCTCTTAATTGGTTGATTCTAAACTCAAATAAGTAGAACTGGGTCCGTAAAATCGAAAATCGAAAACCGAATCAAATCATAGCAAACTGTAGCCAAATAAAACCGAACCGCTATCAAACCAAAACTGAATGTAAAAAACCGAACCGAACCGTAGTTGTTTGGTTCGGTTTTGGTTTTTACCCTTCAAAACTGAACCGAACCGAACTAATTAAAATATAAAATTTATTTGTCAATTGTTAAGCATTAATCCTAACTAATCCTAATATCATTAATAGTCTTTGGTTTTCCTATGCTAGAGAAATAATGTTTGTGTTATGTTTAGTTTATAAATTCATTTACACATTGTCTGTAATAATGTAGCTATACTGAATGATGATAGTATGTTTTTACTAGTTATTAGTGAACTTTTATTTTTATTTAACTTAAAGAACTCATATTGATGAAACAATAAATATTCATCTCAGCTATATCACATAGAACGTATATACTCATGAACTTTTTCTAAACTAGTCACAAACAATGAAAATTAATAATACACACACACACATATATACATTTTTATCTCTCTCGCATACTCATATAATTCAAGACATATTTATTTACTTTCATTTTTATTTTATTTGTTGTAGTGTGCTTGCATTCCTTATGTAATATGTTTGATCTCTCAAAGTATTATCGGAGTATCAATTTTAAATCAAATGATACTTTTTTGGTAAAAACCGAAAAAACCGAAACCGAATCGAAACAAACTGAACCAATCAAACCTTGGTTCCTGGTTTTGGAGTGTAAAACGGAACCGAAACCGAACCGAACTTTTTACTTTGATTTTATATTTGGTTTTAGGTCAAAATTGAACCGCAAGAACCGAACTCACCCCTACAAATAAGAACTTTCATATACGTAGTATTTTGTGTGAACATAGATCTACATTCTACGGAGTAATTTATGATGTGTCCGCCTTTGTGATATACAAAGTACTATGTATTAATGAGTAATATTTTTTTACCAAAAAAAATAAAGTAATAATTACAAATATTAAATAATGTTATATAAATATACACCTAATTTACATTTTAACATGTTGGATCTGAAATGTGAGCTGTACGGCAAAGCTAGAGTAACTAGCTAGTATACACAAGAGTACCTAGTTATTTCACTTATTAATATGTGTAGTCAGGATGTTTTTACTTGGACTGTAATTTGTCCCAGACCAGACCAGACCAGTCCAGACCAGACCAGACCAGACCAGTTCAGACCAGACCAGACCAGACCAGACCAGACTTGGATAGTTATAAAAATACAAAGAAACCAGACCTTACCAGACCAGACCAGACCAGTTCAGACCAGACCAGACCAGATCAGACCAGACCAGACCAGCAAATTACAGTCCAAGTAAAAACATCCTCAGTGTTTTAATTTTTAAACAAAGTTGTAATTAGAATTAGATATAACGGATTTATAGATAAACATTTCTAACTGCCTAATCATAACGATTATTATGTGAAAGAACTTGATAACTTCCAAAGTTGTATGTACGGTATCTTTACATATATAATATAGATATAATATTATGAAAGAAGTAAATATAATATGAGTTAGGGAAAACTGTGAACTAAATCCTCCTACTACCAAATCACCCAATTAACCCCTTACACTCTACAAAAACCCTCAATCCAACTATTTAGCCTGTTGCTTACAGGATGTGCCGGTAATGCCTTATGTGGCTGGCTGCGTGGCATTAAGTTTTCCTTTACTTTGGTCAACCTATCCTTTAGGATTCTATAGTATCCAAAATATATGATGTTTTTGTAATAGAATTATTTAAATCTAAATTAAAAATGATATAATGATTTGGACCAATTATGACATGTGAGTGATAGATACGGTACCCATGTGGCCGGCGTCCTTGTCATGCTTATGATATTTACAGATGAACCATCCTTGATTTGGAAAGATGGGCACATGATTCTCCACATTTGGGTCTCAATGGAGAGATTTATCTTCTCCTGTCTTCGCAAATCCATCCAAAAATCCAGATTCTTCACCTTCCTCCATGGCTGGATGCTCCAGCGAGGTTTCACACTTTTATTGTGCCTTCAAGATGCAGGGGATCTTGATTCTATGATTGAAGACATGCCTCCACAAGATGCAGAAACAAGTCAACCTCACCCATTTACACAGTTAACCCCAAAAGATCTGAGATGTATAATCAAGGGGAAGATGACTCTGAGATGCTTCAAAGAATTAACAGTAAAAAGCGGTGGGCAGAACGATCATGTTGCAGAAAAAGAAGTCGGCTAAAGTAGTGTGGGGAGAGAGAATTAAATAAATAAATAAATAAATAAAACAAAAAGAAAAATGAAAGGAAAATAGAAAAGTGTGAAATTAGCCACGTGGAACGCCACTTAAGCATATTAACCTGCTGTTTATCGAGTAAAAAAGCTGGATTGCTTTTTTTCTAAAGTTTGAAGGGTCGATTGGGTGATTTCATAATAACATTTTGACGATAATAAAAGGACTTAATTCATAGTTTTCCATATGAGTTATGAAATAGTGAAATACAAAGTCTTTACATTCTTATACTCCATTTTGACCCAAACTGCAGTGTCCAAATGATCCTTGGAGATTTTATATATAGGTCTATGTCCTCCCAAGACATGTTTTTTTTTCCTTCATTTCTCACCCTCGTCCTCCCAAGACATCAAAGAATCTGAACTTGTCCATTCCAACTCCGACACATGCATTAACGGGCATATGCTTTTGTATTGAGATGAACTTTCTAGCATAACATTGTCTAACCCAAGATTCCGTCATTATACTTGTTTAATGATAGTAAAAAGTGCAATTGTACTATACAGAAGAGCACGTGGTGGATCTAGTCGAGGACTAGGGCACTAGGTTAACATATAAACACAAATGATAGGGTACACAAGTTGTACCAAAAAGTTATACACAAAATGTCACACATATTTGGTTCGGGGTTGCCTGTGAGCACAGACAGGGGTTGTCTGTGTACACAGACAATTTTTGTCTGTGTCCATAGACATTTATTTTTTTGTAAAAAGTACACTGACAGTCGCCTAACACTGACACTAACTTGCAAATCAATTAAATATTTAAGTATGTGCAATGCATGTGTGCACAGACAATATTTTCATGTTGCACAGACAATTATTTGCTTGTGTGCACAGACAATATTTACCACACAGACAATAGTTGTGCATTTCACAGACAATAGTTGTCTGTGTGATCAACTTTAGTTGTCGGTGTGATCAACTTCAATTGTCTCGGTGAACAAAAAAATAATTGTCCTTATACATCCAAATAAATGATGTAGTTGTATGTGTAATCAATTTATATGTAATTTGAAAAAATTAGAAAAATAATAAAAATAGATGAAAAAAGATGAATAAGCTTAATTTGTGCAAATAATGAAAACAAATTGATAAAAAAAGGGTAGAGAAAAGAGGATGAAGAAGTAAAGAGGAGGATGAAGAAAGAGAGGGGAAGAGAGAATGGAGAGAGGAGGACCGAGAGAAAAGAGGAAGGGGGAAATGGTTTTTTTTTTACTTTTATACCATGTACAACTTGTGTACATGGTGTGTACACTAAACATTTTTGAACACATAAATCCAGAATAATGTTAACCCACTTTAAGTGGTGCATATTAAGAAGCGCAAATTATAACATACATCTGAGTGTAACTATATACCCGGTATTTTTGTAATATGTTGCAACGCCCGACCTTTAATTTATATATAATGCTATGGCTCTCTAGTCTTTTTTTTTTGCTTCCTACGTTATGTTACTCACTCCAAGGCCACTTCTTCCCTTTTTGTTTTATTTTTTTTTTCTTGCCAAAATTTTTCATTAATTTTAATTTATAAAAGATGTGCAATATAAAAAATGTGACTTAAGGTCCTAGCTTACTTTTTTTTTATTTGCTTTTTGTAATCTACCTTCATTATAATTTAAACATTTCTTTAAATTGTAAATTATAAAATATTTAAGGTATCTATGTTTTTTCTATTTTTAATTTCAAGATTAATATATATTAATTTAATATATTTTTGTGTTAATTATTTTAAAATTGTTTGTTGATTATTAACATGAATTATGTGTTATACTAAAATGAGTAAAGTGCTTCCTTCCAAAAAAAATGAATACAGTGTTTAAAATAAATGTGCATGAGTATACTACAAAGAATATGATTAATTTTCTAATTGAAGAAGAATAAATTATAAATTATATATACTAAAATTGATTATATTTCTCAGTTTTATATACCGGAGTATAATGATAGTTTAGTCAATTGTTAATAATAAATCTATTATATGTGCATATTATAGATATGAGCTTTATGTTAAACTCACAAATGAACATGCACAAATGAACATTTGAGCACATTAGAGATTTTAAGTTAGTTTTTGTATTTTTCGATTCTCATTTTGTAAATTATGTCTACTCATTACGTAATGATATTTTGTTCAATTTAAAATGTTATATCAATGGCGACGAAACTCCGTGACCCGATTGGATTTTGCTCACATAATTTCAATGCTCAATAGTAGAAAACACAATACTCAATGAAGATGTCTTGATGCTTAAATAAGTTTTTAAATTCTTATATTTTTAATTGCAAAGTTCTGATGTTCAATACACATACTCTCGATCAATGCTCAATAGTCAAGAATAAGATATTCAATGGAAAAGGGTCAGATAGGCCATCGAACTTACATATAATGGTCAAATAAGCCCTTGTATAGCAGGCTATGTCCTACCGTTGCCATTTGGGACAGCTCACGGTGGAATTTTTTGTTTTGAGCATCTTATTCATTAAGTCTAGTTTACTCATACCAAATTTCAGCTAAAACTTCAATCGGGAAGGCATTCAAATGAATTCTTGAAGATAACTGCGCAGTTAAAAGCGCGGTTATCTTCAAAAAATCATTTAAATTCCTTCCCGGTTGAATTGTTAACTGAAATTTCGTACGAGTCAACTAGACTTAATGAATAAGATGCTCAAAAAAAATCATCAAAAAATTCCACCGGGAACTGCCCCTAATGGCGACGGCCGGACAGAGCCTCCTATATAAGCGCTTAATTGACCTTTTTATGTAAGTTTGAGAGCTTATTTGACCATTTTCCCGATATTCAATGAAGATGTTTTGGTACTAAAGTGAGATATTGAATTTTGCATACTTGATTCAAGAGTTCTAATGCTCATTACACATCATAATGATGCTCAAAGGTAGAGAACAAGATACTTAATGAAAATGTTTTGATAAAATATAAGGTTTTCAAATTTTGTATACTCAATTGTAGAGTTCATATGTTCTATAGAGAGAGAGTTTGATGCTCAATGAAAATGTCTTGATACTCAAATAACATATTAGATTAGATTTGCATATTGAAATTCATATGAGTATACATATAATTTAAGAAATTATTATAAAGGAAAAAATAAGAAAAAGAATTAGAAATAATTGCCTGTATATGACATTTGACTTTTCAAATTACAAACGTATAACCTTTTTCTCCTTTTCCAAATATGCGACTCAGGCTTCTTCGCACGTCTCTCTCCGCCATCCGCAAGACGCATCTCTATGTTGGCTCAAATCTCTACGCACAGCACAGGCCATGGCGTGGTCTTGCTTCATTTCTGCACAAGGTCGAGGCGCCTCTTCTTTTCGCACGGCCATGGCACCTTCTCTCCGCCGGTCCGCCTGTCTGAGCCTCGCCGTCCCTCCGTTGCATCTCCGCCGGTCCGAACCTCGAGCTAGGGATGTGCTTCGCCGATCTTCCTTTATTCTTCTTCTTCTTCTCCTTTCTTGACCGCAAATCATCGCGATTTCAGATCTGAGTTCGTGGCTGGGGCGGGGCTTGACAGTAAGGCATGTCTTGAGTGGCTATGTTGTGACGTTGTTGGGTGGGGGTGGGGCTGGGGTGCGTCCTTGTTGGGCGGGGCTGGAAAGGGTACTAGGGCTTGGGTTGGGGCGGGGCTGGTGGAGGGGACTGGTCATGTCGGAGCCCATGGTGGTGTTAAGTGTTAACTGGTCGGAGAAGCTTGGGGAGGAAAGGAGTGTGGCAGGCCAGCAGGGTAGTTGGCGGTGTTGGGTGATGGCCTGGTTGGGGTCGGCGATGCAGGGGGCTGGGATAATTGGGGAGGGGGCTGGGAAGGTTGGGGAGGGGACTGGTAAGGTCAGGTCGGGGTTGGCGGGTGGTGCACTGACAATGGTGTGGGGTGAGCAGTGGCTGTGACGGTGGTGTCGGGCAGTTTAATGGCGGGGTGGATGACGGCAGCCACTGACCAGGGGAGGCAATCACTGGTTGAGGGGAGGCAGTCACTTCCCCAGAGACGGTAGTGACTGGACGGTGGCGGCGGCTGTCACTGGCTGGGGGCGATGGCAAACACCCGGGGGGCGGTGGCACCCACTAGCCGGGGTGGGGGAGGTAGTCACTCGTCGGTGGAGTGGCGGCAATCATTGATCGGGGGTGCGGTGGCAGACACTATGGCGGGTAGACGACAGTCACTGTGGTCGGAGTCACTGTGGCGGCGGGTCACTGTGGCCGAGGGGTGGTGGTCACTGCCCCAGAGACGGTAATGACTGGACGGTGGCGGCAGCCGTCACTGGCTGGGGGAGATGGCAATCATCCGGGGGCGGTGGCACCCACTAGCCGGAGTGGGGGAGGCAGTCACTCGTCGGTGGAGTGGCGGCAATCATTGATCGGGGTGCGGTGGCAGTGACTATGGCGGGTAGACGACAGTCACTGTGGTCGGAGTCACTGTGGCGGCGGGTCACTGTGGCGGCGGGTCACTGTGGCGGCGGGTCACTGTGGCGGAGGGTCACTGTGGCGGAGGGTCACTGTGGCGGCGGGTCACTATGGCAGCCGGTCACTGTGACGACGAAGTCACTTTGACTGGAGTCACTTTGCACTGCAGGGTTTAATTGTGAAAAGGTCATATTTTTAGAATTTTGAAAAAGATGTCACATTTTTATCTTTTGTCTTTTTTTTAGTAATATTGGAATAAAAAGGCCAAAGAATTAAATGATATGAATCAGATATCACGATGCTCAATATTAAACTCCTAATATCAACTGAATGTGTTTGAAGCTCATTAAAAGTTCATTAATGCTCATTTAATAGAAATTGTGATTTTCATCTCAATGAAAATGTCGTGATGATGTTCAACTAACAAAATTTACGAGTTTCATATCAATGCGCATTTTGTAAGTTACATATGCTCATTTGGTATTGATGTTATGCTCATTTATAAAATGACATATCAATGAACATTTCAAGTACCACTACATTAGATTCACATATTGAAATTCATACGAATTGATTATGAATAATTTAATAGGTCTGATGCTTATTAAAAGTTCATTGATGCTCATTCAACAGAAATTGTGATTTTTATCTCGATAGAGAATGTTTGATGCTCAATGAAAATGTCATAATGTTCAACTAACAAACCATACGATTTTCATATCAATGCACACTTTGTAAGTTATGTATGCTCATTTAGTACTGATGTCGTTCTCATTTTTAAAATGTCATATCAACGCTGATGAAACTAACGTTCAACATAATATGTCGGATGCTTATTAAAAGGGCATCAATGCTCATGTAACAAAAACCGTGATTTTCATCTCAATAGAGAAAGTTTGTTGCTCAATGAAAATGCCGTGATAATAAACTACTAACAAACCTTAAAATTTTATATCAACGAGCATCTTGTAATTTTATGTATGCTCATTTGGTGCTGGTATTACGCTCATTTTTAAAATGTCATATCAACGCATATTTCAAATATCATATTACATTAAATTCGCATAGTCAAATTAATAAGAGTGAATTACATATACTCCCTCTGTCCCTTAAAACTTTGACATCTTTGAATTTTTTGGTCAACCATGTTCAACTTTGACAAATCATATATTTTTATAGAAAATTATTGTATAATATAAAAATTATATGAAAATGTTCCTTGTTAAAAGTACATCCATAAAAGTATAAAACTTATCACTTTCATAACATTATACTAATCAAAATCACGGTTCAAACTTTATTACCATTGACTTGAAAAGTCAAAGATGGCAAAGTTTTAAGGGACGGAAGTAGTATAATTTAACAATGTTCTAAAAACCGTTCTAAAAATCAACCTAGTCGGACAGACTAATCAGCCTAGTCGACCGAAAAATCGGCCTAGTCGGCCACCTAGGCACTAGACGCCCCTCAACCACGAGTCCACGACTAGCGTCTAGTGAGTTTTAGAACAACGTAATTTAATACTCTCTTTGTCCCCCAATTAAATTACCCACTTTCCATTTTGGACAGTCTCTGAATTAAGTTCTCACTTCAATACATTTCCTTATTTGGCAAATTATCTACATCTAAGCAGTGCCAAACAATGTCAAAACAAAAAAAAAAATACCCCCTAATGAATTTATTTCCTTAATGTGTGAAATTCATACAGGAACTTAATTGGGTGACGGAGGGAGTAGGTTTTTATTAAAGAAAGAAAAGAAAAAATTTGAATTAGAAGATATGAAGCATGGATCGTGATGCTCATTTTTAGACTCCTAATACTCAATAGAATATGCCAGATGCTCACTAAAAGTACACTAATGCTCATTTAGTGGAACCTGCGATTTTTCACTTAAATTATTAAAATGCCACCGAAAAACATCGGGCTGTATTAGTTAATGGGCTGTCTTAGTTGGGATGGATGTACCTACACCCAGATGTATGATGTAGGGGCTGAGTTATAAGTGCGTATATCTACATCAAAAGGAATGAGGCAAATTCAAAACTCTATGGCCTGTGGTTTTTGTTTCACATGTATGTTTTGATTATCATGTGGCGCGGATGAATAGGAAGACTTGGGGGCAAGAAGAAACTAACTAAAAGGCCAAAGCTTCAAGCAAAAACAACATATAGCAACAACTCATTCAATATTGGTACTATATGCCATCTCATTCAATCCAAGGCTCCAAGCTGAAGAGAAAATGGCATCACAGGCTGAAGTGCATAAGCAAAACTTGTTCTCTAGTCAGATAAAGACCCATCAAGAGAATATAAACAATTATAACTCCTAGTAACTCTGCTTTTATTTGGTGGAACAATTTTCCAGAACTATTCCCCATGGTAGAAAGGGTGGAATCAGACCGAAATGCCATGGTTGCTTATTTTGGTAACCTCCTTTGTAAGAAAATTCCTTTCTTTTGTTGCCTCTGAAGCAATTTTGGAAACCTAAAAAACAGAACAAAAATGTATACATAAATAAATCTGTGACGCAGCTGCTGTGAAATTAATTAAGCAATGATGTTCAGTGTTCACACTTGAGATTCAACATCACAAGAGAATAAAATGAAGGTGAAGGCCAAAAAAATGAAGAAATATATAACACAGATGCCCACATCAAGCAAAGCTGCCAAGAAACTTACCTGTGATCTAAACAAAGAAGCTTCTCTACGTGGAAGCTCTTTAAGAACATCTTTCAAACCTGGAAAATGATATCTTATCAGAGCTAATAATTCATTACGCATCATCGTTGTTACGACCTTATCAACCAGTTGTTGTAAGTGGCATTAAACTTGTAGTGTCAATTAATTGTATTATTTACATCATTTCCAATGGAGCCAAAGACTTTGGGGCTTGGGAATATGATGAAATAAAGTAAAATGGCTCATTATATTGTTTGCATTTCTTTGTTATGAAACAGCGGTCAATCCATGCAATTTTCGACGCGACTTTCACCATGGGTCATCCGAAAACAGTCTTTGTGCTTTAGCACAAGCTGCGTACATTCGACCCCCCTTACCCCACCATAGGTGGGAGCCTTTGCGGCACTGGGGTAATGTTGTTGTCAATTAATTATATAAGACTATTTAACACTATAAATACATCCAAAAGAACACCGTAGCCGTGTTTTATGCTTGATGTCCTTGTCCATGGAGAAATAATGAGATGCTAAATCTTAATCTGTCATCCTCATAGGCTATCTTCACATGCTTCAATAGTATCATGAGCTAGTGATGAATTGAGTGCCATTGTTTCGAAAACATGATTGAATGATCTTTTTACATAGAAATTTTAGCTACCTGCAGCTTGTCTTTCAATCTTATAAGCTGAGCGAATCACACTTCTAATTTGCTTCCCAGCTTGTCTGATGAAATAAAATGTTCAGCAGGATATAAGCCAACCAATCAAAGGAAACAAAGATATGCTCAATACAGCTTCAGGAATGCTCCACCAACAAACCTCAATTTTGTCTTTCCCCGCATCAGCTCCTGCTCTGCTTTCACTGCATTCCTCTGAAATTGTTTTCATATGTTTATTGACTTGCAATATAACATATTAAAAAAGGGAGATAAATTCAACTACTGAGGGCAAACCATTGGGCACCAGAATTTCCTTACAGAGTTACAGCTTGTTAAATACGTAGTTATTTTGTGAAGTACAGCTATATGAAACGGGAAATATATGTTCATTCCAATGTAATACTCCATATATAATAAGATAATATCTCAGCAGCTCAGCTTGCTTTTTCTACAATGTGTTATTAGTAACGAAAAGGTAAATTGTCTATAAATTAAACATCTAGAAGTTATCGAAGAGAAACATATAGTAATATGTTAACAAGTAAATAAACATAAAAGAGATGTTGACAAACTGACTCGCACTTGACTCTAATGACAACAAAACCCAGTTCTATGCACAGATCAAATCCCCCTCACTTTCTTTTTCCATAAAACAATAAACTGCTTAAACAATCATCTTTAGCTCCATTGGGGTGCTTTTCAGTGTTCAGTATACAGCTTCTTTTTGGAAACTAAATCCCAAGTTGTGGAAACATTAAAAGTGAAAGTTTTCAGTTTTCTATTGGCACTTAAATTAACATAATTAGAATAAAGGTAAGTGTATATTACAAAATACATTTGGATAAGTGTGGGTCATAATTAAAATAATTGTTCCTATACAGAGTACAATTTAAGAAAAAGTAGTATGCGCCCAAAAAAAAGTAAAAAGGTGACGTGATAGATAAAGGGATAATGTCAAAAAGTAAAAATCTAGTGGAGTTAGTTTCGGGAAGTGCTCATAATTGTTGAATAACCATAAAGGTAAGTGTATCTTACAAAATGAAATATGGGAGCTACTAAGGAGCGGTACAAATCACATGCAATTAACTGGACACAAAAGCAATACTATCAAAACACTCCTATACTTGTGAGTAAAATGAAAAAGAACACACAAAGCTCAACGACAAAAGAATAAAATACAAAAATTATCAAGAAATGCTTTCATCCATCTCCATGCCCTGGAAGTCAGATAAATCCCACATCGTGTGACTACTAAAATCATAAAACCAAAACTTCCAACCCAGTTGGGACCTTAGTGTGAGCCAGGCATGTTTATAGCTACTAAAGGATAGTGCAAGTCTGCTAGTCAAAGTATTTATGGGACGGGCACAAAATGTATTGTGTGAATTCCAACTTACAAAGAAAAACAAATGATTTTCATCAAATCCCAGTTCTGAAAAGGTTTGAAGAATGTGATAATATATTCATTCATGTCAGTACAATATAAATGCTACAATTGTTGTCTAGACTCTAGAGTAAGGTAAGAGTCTACACATAATTACAGGAAATTGTAAATTGACTCTAACTGATATGATACTAGATAAGTTAATGTAAATCTAAGAGTTATTGTAAAACAGATTGGGAAAAATTATTTCCTTTTACATGCCCCTGCAAAGTAGATCCAAACACCCCCTATAAGTCCCACTACCTATGAGCAAAAAACTATTATACCTAGCATTCAAAACATGAAGCAAGATAAATGCATCAAAGGAATACCTCTAATTTTTCACTCTCTCCCTTCAAAGCATCAATGGATTTCTTCAGCTCTTTGACTTGTACATCAGCATTCGAAAGCATGGCCTGTTCCCAGCAATAAAAATCCACATTAAAATTGCCTTACAATATCAAAGGCACTTAATTCGTGTAACTTAGAGTGTGGCAGGTCATGCAAGGTCCATTGCCCCTCGGTCATCCATTTGATGTTTTTCCCATATAACTGGTGCCATTGGTTTATTAGCCTTACCATGAATCCTGAAACTCTATGTGACAACTTTGTCTATCTTCATAACATCAAGTACACATCTGACTTGAAGTGTTTTATCTTTTACATTATTTTTCTTTTAAAACTTTTCATATTTAAATTACCTCAACAAGCTCAACTTTTTTCATATAGAGTTGCATTCCTTCACTAGTTTGTATGAGTTATTACTTTAAGGCATTTTATGTTTGTAGGAGTAAAACAGCACATCTTGTATTAAACTGTGCCTGTTTCTACTGTTTAAGAAATACTTCATTTTATAGTTTTATTGATCAGATATGCAGATATGCTGATGAAGCCTAACCAGCTTCAGCATCTATTGCTTAAGAACCATAAAAATGCAAATATTTGTGCTAAAAAAACAGTAGTTGTTGCACCAACGGTTGATTACCTCTTCAGTGGATAATAGGCGCCTTGCTTTGCAGTACAAATATCGCCTTGGCCCTGTGGTTGGTAAGCAACTCTCAGGAGAAAGAAAAAATGGATAGATGAATATTGACGTGCCATGAGATAACGCATAATAACTGACTCGTGCCTAAGCTTGAATTTTATACAGTTTGGTCTCTTAACTACATATATTACTCCTGTGTATATATTGTTATAATAACTGAATAAAATGAACGATATTACCTTCTGTTTAACAATGACATTGTTCAATTAACAATGCTTCATAGGGCTAGATGCAAGTGTAAAATAACGATATGTTGCTTAATGGACCTACGCCTCTATTTAAGAAAAAACATTTGGTTCAAGTGACTATGGTAGTGGAATAGAGAGTGTTACGACTGTAGAACACTTACTTTTTAGACCCAAAAAAACAAGACCAAGAAAAGCTCCGATTGTGGTCAGAGGATGAGACGATGCAACATCAATGCCCTCTGCAAACCCAACTCATTGGTAAACATATTAAACAACTAAACAAGTACTTCAAACAAATAATTAAATTGATTGTTAAATACTAGTACAATTTTAAGCAGGGTAAACCTTTAATCTTCCCAATAGTGATGTCCTCATATACATGACATTCAGCCTTAACATCTTGCAAGGTATCCTGCATCCAATTTACCGTGAGTCAATTGCATCTTCATAAAGAAGACTAGTTTGTATGCATCATGAGCAAAATCATAATCAACTTCTGGATCAGAATGTATTTCTCAGCACAACACAAGAATGACCTCACAGCAATGCACCGTGCAATAAATGATTTGATCGCTGAGACTTTTTGACAAAGAAGTAAAAGTACTCAAATTTCGAAGTGTTTCATTTCAACCGTAAAATATATGCAGAAAAAGTAATGCAACTAGGCAAGCTAAGAGTGCCAAAGCTAGAGAAGAAATACAAATATTACAAGACTTCGATTAAAATGAGCAGATGAAGTGGTCAGGACACGATCCATTCTAGAATTTGTTACAGCGATTGCATTCTCTAGTGCAGTTACAATAGTCTGCTGCGCCTGCCGCGCCTGATGCAGCACATCATTGATCCAGGGCGCAGCCTGAGCTAAGGTTTCAAAATTTTCCGAGTGGTTGCCTTGCTTTGGATGAAGTGACGATGCCACGTTGCGAGGCGGCGCTTTGGAATTCTCTCCAGAAGATAAAGCATTTACAGACATGGTTAAAAGGGACAATGCGATCACGATAAATCGATAATGGGGCTCTGCGGATGATTTTTTCGGATTTTCACATGGAGGAGAAAGTACAAATATACTCCTATATATTATACTCCTGTATTATGGGTGAGAGAATAAATATAACTTTATTATATTTTTGGAATAAATACACCCCTAAAGTATATATTGAACTGTATATATACCTCTGAACTTTCAAAAGTGCAAAAATACATATCATGTTCTTTTAAGGATGCAAATTTACCCTTATTGACTTTAATTAAATAGATAAATAAATTTCAAAAAACACCAAAAATAAAATATAAATTTGAAATTTAAAAATAAAGATTTATTATTATGTTAAAATATTATTTCTTTAATTTTAAATTTCAAAATTATTATATTTCCGTTGTAAATGAAGCACATCAAATTCATTAACACTAGTATTACTTTGGAAAAATTGATATTAATAATCCCAACTATTGGCGGTCCGCTCATAATAATCCCAACTATTGATTATTACATAATAATCCCAACTTTAGGGACCTTCCGCCAATAATGGTCCCTATGAATAAATTCTTGTAGTTTCTAAAGTGAATGGAGTGAGATATAACAAGTAATCCTTATAAATAATATCAAATTTTAATTTTTACGCTTAATTTCTATTTAAATTTCACTTTTTATAGAGGTAATATATGGTCATGGACCATTATTGGCGGATAGTCTATATAGTTGGGATTATACAAAAATAATCAATAGTTGGGATTATTTTCAGCGGACCAGCAATAGTTGGGATTATTATTCTCAATTTTTCCTATTACTTTTAGTCTTGTTATGAAATTTTGAACGCATTGTTATATTTTTTGAAATAACATTCTTTGATTTTGTTTAAACTTAATAAAATTAAATTCACTATTTTGTAATCTTGAACTATTTATCAGAAATAATTACATAAATATGACCAAAATAAAGATGGTTTACAAAAATATGATTCATTACTAGAGTAGTAATGAAATCATAGTAATTCATATTCAAGTTTTGAATTTTAGTTACCACAGCACTACGTTGTAGTAATGAATAGTCATATTTATGAAAATAAGTTTTATTTTAGTAATATTCTCGTAAAAAACCCTATTTATCATCATACAAAATATGCAATTTTATAGTGCAAAGAATGCAAAAAATTAATTTTTTTTTTGTATTGGAACACATATGTTAAAACTTTTTTCGAAAAAATCTTAAATATATAGTAATGTTTTGAAATAAAATTTTATACTAACAATATTTAAATGTGATTTACAAATAATAAAGGGAGAATTGGAAGTATATTTTTTTTTTTTTTTTTTTTTGAAGAGAACAATGCATAGTTTATTCAATAGGAAGTAAGAAAACAAAGTATACCAGATGAACACAAATAGGAACTAAACCATCTGTCATTCATTCTATGAAGATCACTTCATCCAAGGTAGCAATATGAATTACGATACTACTTTGATGCATTCAGATTTCAGCATATATGATTTTATGAAAGTGCCTGAGGTGCCTCTGAATTCAATCCTAATGCCTTTTTTATTTCTTCCTCAAGGGCCAAGGGCTGAGTAGTGGTTCCATAACGCCCAATGACGTTCCCTTCTTTGTCAACTAAAAACTTCGTGAAGTTCCACTTAATGCTAGAACCAAAAAAGCCACTTGTATTTGCTTTAAGGAACTTGTAGACAGGTGCTGCATCCGAACCATTAACTTTCACTTTTTGGAAGATGGGATATTCAGCACTGAATCTAGTGCAGGCAAACGCCTGTGCTTCCTCGCTAGATCCAGGCTCTTGCTTCAGAAATTGATTGCAGGGGAATGCTAGTATTTCTAATCCTTTATCCTTGTATTTGGTGTATAACTGAGTCAACTGCTCGTAGTTAGAGGTTGTGAATCCACATTTGGAGGCAACATTCACGATAAGAAGCACTTTTCCCTTGTATTTGCTGAGATTTACATCATTACCTTTGCTATCCTTGACAGTAAACTCATGAAGCGACTTTTCTGAAACGGTGAGGGAAGCGCCCATGTTTTGATATTCACCGGTATCTTCTATCTTCACGGCGGCGATAGGAGGCGGAGGAGCAAATGAGAGACAACTGTGAAGCCGAAATGTAGAATTGGAAGTATATTAGAATACATAAGAGTGGAGTTTTGGAAGTTGAATAGTTTTTTCCTTATGGTGTTGCCACATGTCACTTTTTCCTATAAAGAATGTTGCCACATGTCAAGAATTCTTCCAAAGGGTTCTCCAAGGGTTTGCTTTATTATATTATTTAGATTCCATGTTGTTTCGTTCTTCGGTCATAAGTCCGTATCTCGAATAGGGTACCTTTACTTCTGCCGGTATGACCGCTTCACAGCCATAAACTAAGGAAAAAGGGGTTTGTCTGGTTGCGTTTTTTTGGAGTCATTGTGTCTGCCCATAGTATCAAGGGTAACTCGTCAGCCCTTTGCCTTGTTGCTGGACTCGACATGTCCATTGGATTGCGGGTACCTAGGAGTTGACGTTTCCAACCTGATGTTGTACCTTTCGCAGAAGCGTCGGGTCTTTGTGCTTATGAATTAAGATTCGTTATCACACACAATCTCTGACGGAATGCCAAACCTGCAAAGTATATTTCTTTTTATAAAAGAGATTACCTGTTCATCACGTATCTGACGGAATGGCTCGGCCTCCACCCATTTCGAGAAGTAATCTGTCATTGCCAACATGTAACTTTTTGACCGGGAGCTTCTAGCAGCTTCCTGACAATGTCCATGCCCCACTTCATAAAGGGCCATGGTGAAAGGACCAGATGAAGCAACTCAGAGGGCTGATGACGGATTGGTCTGTGCTTCTGACAAAGCTGACAATTTTGGGTGAAAGTGACTGTGTCTTGTCTCATGGTTAGCCAATAGTATCTAAATCTAAGAGCTTTGTTGGACAAGCTTCTTCCAGCAGCATGGTTACCACATTCGCCTTCATGGAGGTTCTTTAACACTTTGACGGCTTCTTGAGGTGCCAAACATCTTTGGTACAGACCTGCTTTAGATCTTTTGAACAAAACACCGTCAATTAGTTGAATTTAGTTACCTTGGAGAGAAACGCCTTAGCCTCCTTTTTGTCAACCGGTAGGGTGTTGTGTTTCAAGTATGCTATGTATGGCTGCATCCATTCGTCTTGTGATGAAGGTGTGATGGTATTGACGGATTCCGATCTCTCAATTGCTGGACTTGACAAGTGAACAAAATGGATGTTGTTGTTGACTTCTTCCCCCAGACATGATCCAATTGCAGTCAGGGTGTCTGCTCGTGTGTTTTCCTTCCTTGGCACTTACTCAAAAGTGATTTCGTCGAACCACGTTGTCAATTCCGTAATGACTTGCAAGTAAGACATCATCTTGGAATCTTTTGCTGCATAAACACCGTTAGTTTGATTAACTACTAATAATGAATCACATTTTACCTGGAGCATGCATTTTGACGCCCAGATCCTTTGCCAGCGTTAATCCGGCGATCAATGTTTCATACTCCGCTTCATTATTTGTGGCATTGAAATCACAACGTACTGCTTGGAGTATAGTGTCCCCCTGTGGCGACTTTAGTACTACGCCCAGGCCTGCTCCATTCATGTTTGACGCTCTGTCAGTGTGTAATGTCCATTTTTGGCGAAGCAACCCGTCCATTATGAGACATGTCTCCTTTTGCGCTTCGGTGTGGAGTTTAGGACTAAAGTCCACCACAAAATCAGCAAGCGCCTGAGATTTCAAGGTTGTTCTTGGCTCGTATCTGAGTTCGTAAGCTCCCAGCTGGATTGACCATTTAGCCATGCGACCTGACAACTCGGGTTTCCTCATGATTGACTTCATGGGATAATTAGTTCGAAAACAAATTGTACGTGACTTAAAGTAAGGATGTAACTTAACTGAAGCAGTTATTAAGGCCAAAACTATTTTTTCAAGTAAAGCGTATTTGGTCTCCGGGCCATTTAGGGACTTACTTATGTAGTACACCGGTGTCTGTTGTCCGTCTTCTTCTTTAGTCAACACAGCGCTGACACCATGCTCTGAAATGGCTAAGTAAAGTTGGAGTTCTTCATTGTGTTTAGGTTTCGTCAGCAATGGTGGGGTTGACATGTATTCCTTTAATTGTTGAAGTGTTTGCTCATGTTGGTCCGTCCACTCAAACTTTTTGTTTTTGCGCAGTACGTCATAAAATAGACGACACTTGTCCGACAACTTGGAAATGAAACGGTTCAACGCTGCAACTCTTCCCGTCAACCTCTGGACGTCCTTGACGGATTTAGGTGATTCTATGTCCAGAATGGCTCGGACTTGTTCCGGACTTGCCTATATTCCACGCTTGTTGATGATATAGCCCAAACATTCTCCAGATGACACTCCGAAAGCAAATTTCGACGGATTGAGCTTTAGATTGAATTCTCTTAATCTTTTGAACGATTCCGTCAATTTATCGATATGGTCCTCTGTTTTCTTTGTCTTGACGATCATGTCGTCTATGTACACCTCCATGGTTTTTCCTATTTGGTCCTTAACCATCATAGTGATGAGTCTCTGAAACGTCGCACCTGCATTTTTAAGACCAAAAGGCATAACAATATAACAATATGTACCTGTTTCAGTAATGAAGGTCGTCTTCTCCTGATCGTTGGGATGTAGCTGAATCTGGTAGTATCCACTGAAAGCGTCCATAAACGAGAGTGATGGAGTATATGACTCAGGAACCCCCAGCCCATAGACTCCTACTTCTCCTGCACATGCCCAATGAGCCCAAGACACGCCCAAGGCCAAAATACAGCGGCCCAAGTGCCAAGAAGCCCACAATACGCACAGGGGTGCCTTCGGCCTCTGTGGCCGAAGGCTCCAAATTACACAGGGCAGCCAGATTTGAGCATGCAAAGTTACTGGGAGGAAATGGCAGAAAACAGTAGCCCTCAGCTACCAGGAGCCTTCGGTACACATGGTGCCTTCGGCATCAGGGAAGCCTTCGGCTATACAGCGCCCTCGGCTGCACAGGGCCCTCGGCCAACAGCTCAATC